CTGAACAGACAGAGATTAAATTAAAAAAGATAAAAGATACAAAACACAAGTCCAAGTTCTTCCAAAATGACCTCAGGAAAATAGAACAAGATGGTAAAACCTGAAAACCCGGAGTGTCCAGCAGCAGCACAGTGTCCTTAAACCTCACCGAGCTGGTTTGGGATGAACTGGACAGAAGAGTGAAGCAACCTACAAGTGCCACACATTTATGGAACTTCTGTACAGTGTTGGGAAGTTTACTTTTAAAATGTATTCCCCTACAGATTACAGATTACAGATTACATACCCCAAAATGTAGTTTGTAACGGAATCCATTAAATCACTTAAAGTGAGTAATGTAATCTGAATACTTTGGATTACTTGATTTGCTGTAGAGAAGCAAAGACGAGGAAATCATAACATAAGATGTTTTGTCTGATAAAAGAAAATAAAAAGCCCAGACTTTACTTCACTGTATTAAAAATATTATTGATAGAAGAGGAGGAGACATGGTCCGTGCAGCATGGTTTAGTCCTGTTAAATCCTGTTTTAGACCTGGTTTGAGTCCTGGTTTAGTCCTGGTTTAGTTCTGGTTTAGTCCCGGTTTAGTCCCAGTTTTAGTCCTGGTTTGGACCTTGTTTAGACCTGGTTTTAGACCTGGTTTAGACTTGGTTTTAGACCTGGTTTAGACCTGGTTTTAGACCTGGTTTAGACCTGGTTTAGTCCCAGTTTTAGTCCTAATTTAGTCCTGGTTTGGACCTGGTTTAGACCTGGTTTTAGACCTGGTTTTAGACCTGGTTTAGACCTGGTTTAGACCTGGTTTAGACCTGGTTTAGACCTGGTTTTAGACCTGGTTTAGACCTGGTTTAGACCTGGTTTTAGACCTGGTTTTAGACCTGGTTTAGTCCCGGTTTAGTCCCAGTTTTAGTCCTGCTTTAGTCCTGGTTTAGTTCTGGTTTAGACCTGGTTTTAGACCTGGTTTAGACCTGGTTTTAGACCTGGATTAGACTTGGTTTAGTGTCCGGCAATGAGTGTAATTACAGGAAAAAAAAAAAAAAAAAAGGATATAGCCCGAAATGTGAAAACAGGAAAATACCACCGTGTAATCCATTTATTTCAACAAAGTAACTGTAATCCAATTACCACTCACTGAAACAGTAACTGTAACTGAATACAGTTACTCATAATTTGTACTCTGATTACATAACTCCGGTACATGTAATCTGTTACTCCCCAACACTGCCTGTAACAGATTTGAGAAGAACTTTCTGAACAATATTTGATTTCTGTTGTAAAAAGAAGGAGCCACGCGTGTGTTCAATCAAAAGTTCTGAATACGTAAACAGAAAGAAAAGTATTCTAAAACATCACTTTAAACTATACACTATTTCAATATTTTTGCACACCTCTAATTATCATCGTGGTATCAGAATCGGTATTGAGTATCGAGTCTGTTCCTTAGTATCGAAGTTGAGTTTGATATATTTGTATTATAATTGAACATTAGAAATTGTCAAAATGTAAAAGACTGTGTGTGTAAGCTGTGTACTATTGAAACTAAACTGGTGGTGGAGCAGTGGCACTCTCGCCTCACAGCAAGAAGGTTCCTGGTTCAACTCCCTGTGTTTGGGTGGGCTTTACCCTCTAGGGCTACATGAGTTTGGGAAAAAAATTGAATATTTTCAGCCAAACTTGGCGATCAGATGTGTGAGTTATGGTTTAATAATTATTTGAATTAAGAAAATAAAATAAAAAAATGTAAAAAAAGACTGAAATCTGAAGTGATAAACTAAAACAAGCATCACATTCAGCAGCGTTTATAAGAATATAAGTTTATAAGAAGACAGGAGGTTTTGTTTGTGGAGGAGGTTATGGAACTTCAAAAACTGCAGCGTCTGGGATTTGCTATTTTTTTGTTTTGTTTTGTTTAGTTTTGTCAAATTGTGATTTTGATTGGATTGCTCGAGTTGTGGAGTCGGGTCCCGCTGCTCGTGTACGACTCCACAGTACTTTGAATAACTCTGTGTAACTTTCTTTTCTAACCACATCAGCTGTGTACTCTGTATACATCACTGTGCAAACTCCAACTCACAATATTTTCTGTTTCAGCATCAGAGGAAAAAGTTCATACTGTATGTGTAAGTCCAACACATGACGCACATTCTGATCAAAAACACAAAAGTCCAAATACTGCAGTACTACAAATACTGCAAATACTGCAACTACTGCAACAACAGCACATCAGCACCAAGATTTTCACCAACACAAAAAGTGCAAGTCTCCAAGTACTACTACTACTACTACTACTATTATTATTATTACTGCTACTACTACTACTACTACTACTACTACTACTACTACTACTACTACTACTACTACTACTATTATTACTACTGCTACTACTACTACTACTACTACTACTACTACTACTATTATTATTACTACTGCTACTACTACTACTACTACTACTACTACTACTACTACTACTACTACTACTACTTACTACTACTACTACTTACTACTACCACTGCTACTACATGTAGTGCTAATATTACTACTACTACTACTATTATCATTACTACTGCACTACTACTACTACTACTACTACTACTACTATTATTATTACTACTGCTACTACTACTACTACTACTACTACTACTACTACTACTACTACTACTACTACTACTACTACTACTTACTACTACTTACTATTACTACTGCTACTACTACTACTACTACTACTACTACTACTACTACTACTATTACTACTACTACTACTACTACTACTACTACTACTACTACTACTACTACTACTTACTACTATTACTACTACGCTACTACTACTACTACTACTACTACTACTACTACTACTACTACTACTACTACTACTATTACTACTACTACTACTACTACTACTACTACTACTACTACTACTACTACTACTACTATTATTACTACTACTGCTACTACTACTACTACTACTACTACTACTACTACGACTGTTACTGCTACTACTGCATGTACTGCTAATATTACTACTACTACTACTACTACTGCATGTACTGCTGATATTACTACTACTACTACTACTACTACTACTACAAATACAACAACTACTACTACTACTACTATTACTACTACCACTGCTACTACATGGAGTGCTAATATTACTACTGTTACTGCTACTACTGCATGTACTGCTGATATTACTACTACTACTTGGCGGCACGGTGGCTGAGTGGCTAGCACTCATGCCTCACAGCAAGAAGGTTGTGGGTTTGATCCCCGGGTCGCCTGGGCCTTTCTGTGTGGAGTTTGCATGTTTCTCCGTGTGTCTGGATGTGTTTCCTCCGGTTTCCCCCATTAACCCAAAACATGCTCCAGGTCCAGAACAGTTGATAGTCAAGGTCAGTTAAATACAATCAATTCAATCATAGTGTGTCCTTAGGCAAGACACTTCACCCACATTGCCTAGTATGAAAGGTGTGTGTGTGAGTGATGGTGGTGGTCGGAGGGACCGATGGTGCTGAGTGGCATGGCAGCCACACTTCTGTCAGTGTGCCCCAGGGCAGCTGTGGCTACAGTAGTAGCTTAGCTAGTATAGAGTGAATGAATAATGCTGTGTAAAGCGTCTTTGGGGACAGAAAATGTCTGTGAAAGCTCTATATAAATAAAGACTTACTTACTACTGCTACTGCATGTACTGCTAATATTACTACTACTACCACCACTACTGTACTACATATGTACTAGGACTGGGTAATTCATCAAATTAATTTGATTAATTCAGTTTTTTAATAATAGAGAAGAAGTGCTAAATTATGAAATAATTTTAATGAAATTAAACTTTCTTATAAAGCAGGATATTGTGCAAATAAAAGTCAATATCTGAATATCTGTACAAATGTAACAGAAGACAGAGGGAAGAGTGTATGATAAGAATGAAAACATTAAGAGTTTTCCCTGTGGAAAAAAACCCCAAACCTCCAGATGTTATTTTTGTCCCAGTTTTGGCATGTACTCCCACCATCATATAATGAAGATTTCACTCCAGAGCTGAGCACCATCCACTCACATTTACTTCAACTGTGTTTTAATCATACTTTTTCATCTTAATGTACTGTTACTAACATGTACTACTACTACTAATGTACTACTACTAACTCTACTGCATTTACTGCTACTAATATTACTCCTGCCACATCTTATAATATCGCTTAAACTACAAATGTGGGTAGTAGTGATTTAGTATTACAGTAGTCGTACTGAATAATTATGAGACCCTGTACTTTTACTCTTTATTATATTGTAATGTTTATATAGTATACATTCTACTATATCATTTACTGTACAGTGTAACAGTACTCTTACTCGAGTAATATATAATACCTTGTAACAGTATTGTTATTTGATTAATATACAGTACAGTGTAACAGTACACTTACTTGATTAATATACAGTACAGTGTAACAGTACTCTTACTTGAGTAAAAGTTATATCTACACTTGACTAAATCTTTATGTGACAATCTGAAATGATTTGAACGTTTGTGTTTCTTCAGATTTGATTTTGTTTGTTGTTTTGTGATTTCATATTTTCTCCTTCACTTTACAATAACAATGTATAATTTGAAGTTACAGTTGGGCTTCTCTTTAAGTTACTCTTGAGGAGTTGTTTTCAAAAATATATATTTTAGTCTTACTTGAGCAATTTCTTGAACCACTACTTTGTACTGAGTAATATCACTTGTAACGTCACTCTTACTTACTAGTACAAGTTAGCTCCTCTTCTACCACCTCTGTTTATGGGTCACTACTTTTAACTCTGAGTTTATTGGGTCACTACTTTTGAAAGTATTTGAGTAAAGTTGCTGTGTATAAATCACGGCGCGCTCGTGTGTCAGAGAGCACGCGGAACAGTGCGCACGGAGCGAGAGGATGACGCTTTGTGCAGCTGTAGGCTACAAAACTCCGCAAAAAAGTTTACACAAACATCAATAAGTGCATGGATCTGGATCTTACCATTTCGGTGCGACCTCCGAGCCTCCACCCACACCGCGCACAAGACGCACAGGACGCCGACAAGAAGCCGTCTCATAGCCGCAGTCATTCCGCTAGAGTCCGCTGCGAGAGTCTGGAGAAGTGCACCGCGGAGATCAGCACTTAAAGCCCGGCTCAGAGGCGAGGAGGGACCCACACTTCCGCCTGCCGCCGCCGCCGCCGCCGCTGCTGCTGCTGGTGGTGGTGGTTACGCGGCGCGCACGGGGGCGAAGCGAAAGCGCATCAGACGCGAGGTCCCTCCTTCTTACGCGGAATTAACCCCGAGTCATTATTTGCACAAGGCTGGAGCGCTTTGTCACCGGCTCAGAAACACGCGAGGGACAGACTGAAGGAACGAAGCAACTCTCTGGCACAGTTTGGTGTGATTATTCAGTTAATAAAGCTGATTACAGGTGATTATCATGACTACAAGATTGATTTATTTGAGCTTTCTATCATGTTATAATTTTGTATCGTTGTTCCCTTCTCAAAAACGTGCCTGGAGAGGTTTTAAAATTCATCCCCGTGTGACAATAATTACCCTAAAACTAGATTAAACATGAGTGAGTGCGCAGATTTCACTTTAATTCTACAATATCTGGACATCTGTTTTACTTTTTTATTTATTTAATTTTTTTTTTATTTATTTATCACCTTCTTTTAACATCGCAAAGTCCTTGGAGATGTTTGTGTTTTATTCTGTGCATAAAACATTTACTGATCCTGACAGTTTCAATGATGAGAAGTGGATAAAATAATGAAAATACCATGTGCTCAGACTAATGTGCAGATGTTGTAGCTTCAAAGTAGGAAAATCACTCACGTCAATGTAATAAACACACAAACATCGTTCATTTAACTTTAGTTTGTGATTTTATTTTCTGCAATCCAGTTATAATCTGTCAGTTATCGTTATACATATGAACAGTGTAAAGCAAAAAGCATTTGGGATCATTTCTCTTCAGTCTCCTCTCTGCCTCATTTTGTTGTGTTTATTTTCATTTATATTATGATTTCACTTATGTTATATGTTCCATTGTATAAGAATGTAAATCTTTAATTGCCCAAAATAAATAACACGACATAAAAAAAAATAATAATAAAAAAAATAAGAAAACAAAATAAAAAAATAAAATAAAAAAGAAATAAACAAAACTAAATTTAACTAAAATAAACTAAACTAAAATAAAATAAAATAAACCAGTATTTTATGCTCATCAACAAAACACAAACTTACATTGTGTGAATCATTTGACCAGGAGTCTCCAACCTGTAGCTCGGGAGCTCCCAGTAACTCTCCACCCTCCTCCAAGCAGCTCACCAAAACATTTCTGAAATAAACATACTGTGCTGAATGGCTCAGATTTGATGAACTATCATTGTACATGTATCGTTTTGATGTTTAACTTTGTGCACTAATACATGGACAAAGGTTTATGTTTTATAGGTGTCAAACTGTAGTCAGTCTGGCACCACCTAGTGCCTCGGCTCAATTTCATTTCTCTCCAGTGACTAGGTCAGGAATCAGAATACACTAGACGATTTGCAAGAACCCCGGAAGTGCGAGTTGGGACACCAGCCAATCAGTGAAGAGCCAGACATTCAGTGTTGTCAACAATTCTCAAGATCGAGGATTTAAAGCCGCAACAAAGAGAATGTTTGGTGAATTTTATCAAGGGGAAAGACGTTATTGTCCTTCTTCCTACGGGATTTGGGAAAAGTTTAATATACCAGTTAGTCCCAGTTAAATACGTCACAACCAAATAGCAGTGATTGGTTAAATATAAAAAAGTATCTGCCTACCATCAAGCGAACGAACGCTGCGAGGTCAGATGATTTATACAAAGTGAAACTGACTGATGAATCAGACCAGTCGAACAGTTCCCCATCTTAGACTTTCTTCTAATAATAATACATAATAATAATGCATCAGTTTTATATAGCGTTTTTACGGACACTCAAAGACACTTTACAGTTCATTCTTCATTCACTCCACACCTGGTGGTGTAAACTACTACTGTAGCCACAGCTGCCCTGGGACAGACTGACGGAAGCGAGGCTGCCAATCTGCGCCATCGGCCCCTCCAAACACCCCAATCACTTTCATACTAGGCAATGAGGGTGAAGTGCCTTGCCTAAGGACACAACAACAGTTTTTTTTTACGACTGTCGCCTCCCTGTGGCTCCTGATTTTCCCAGTGTCTCTCATCCAATTATGCTCAATTTCTTGTAACCGCTAAAAAAACGCAGCTCTTTGGCATTTTCTTTTTTGTAAAGGAGCTCACCAGAAGAAAAAGGTTGAAGATCCTCGATTACGACATGATGGTTGAGTTATTGAAATGAAACCAAATCAAGAAAATGTCACAGTAAAAAAACTTTCATACCTTAATTCATTTATTCATTATGCTGGGACTGCATGACACCTGAAGGACCTTTATCGAAACTCTCATTACAGTGAGGTCTAAGATTATGTACGAGGCTCCGCCCACAAGCCTACGCCACCCACGCTCCCACACGACAATACGACAAGACATGATACAAAACTGTACACAGCAATTTAAAGACAAATCAAAATCACCTCCACTGAAATGTCACAAAATCCTGTGTTTTCAAAGCACAGACACACACCAAAAAAAAAAAAAAGTTCAGATCATTTTCAGATTGTCACATGTCCTGTTCATTGACCTTTAGTGTAATTTTCTACAACCTAAACACAAGAATAACTAGAAAAGCAGTCAGAGAGCGCAGACCTCCGCCAAGGACTACCCCCATTTTTTATATAAATTGCGATAAAATCAGTCTTCTGGATCAGATCCGGATCAGCCTTTGGAATATGAAAGAGGATCATTGTCCATCCCTGAGTCAAATTTCATGGGGTTTGGTCAATAATTAACCCAGATATTGAGAAACAAAATTTTTGGCCCCATTTACCACAATGTTAACTAAAATTTCAAAGTGATCCAGAATCCAGGATTTCTTCCGGATCACCCCCAAAATGAAATCACTTCTTCCTTTTCACATTTCCAACAAATCCTGAAAATTTCATCAAAATCGGTCCATAACTTTTTGAGTTATGTTGCTAACAACAAACAAACAAACAAACAAACAGACAAACAGACAAACAAACAGACAAATGCCGGCAAAAACATAACCTCCTTGGCAGAGGTAATAAAGGATAATATAATAATAAAAGAGGAGTTTGTCATGTAAACTGCCCGTTCACTGAACTTCATTCCATGGAACTGTGATTATCTAAACCTAACCCCACAAGGACTTACCAGGAAAAGGGTTCGAGTTTTCCTGGTAATCTGACGGAGCAGAGGAGGAAAGGAGAGGGTCAGAAGAGAAAAGAAGAGAAGAGGAGAAAGGTCAGAGGAGAAAAGGAGAGGTCAGAGAGAGAGAAGGTCAGAGGGTCAGAGGAGAAAAGAGGAGAAAAGGAGAGGTCAGAGAGAAAAGAAGGTCAGAGGAGAAAAGGAGATCAAGGAGAAAAGAGAGGGTCAGAGAGAAAAGGAGAGGAGTCAGAGGAGAAAAGGAGGGTCAGAGGAGAAGAGGAGAAAAGGAGAGGGTCAGAGGAGAAAAGGAGAGGGTCAGAGGAGAAAAGGAGAAGGTCAGAGGAGAAAAGGAGAGGGTCAGAGGAGAAAAGGAGAGGGTCAGAGGAGAAAAGGAGAGGGTCAGAGGAGAAAAGGAGATCAGAGGAGAAAAGGGTCAGAGGAGAAAAGGAGAGGGTCAGAGGAGAAAAGGAAGAGTCAGAGGAGAAAAGGTCAGAGGAGAAAAGGAGAAGAGGAGAGAGGAGGGGTCAGAGGAGAAAAGGAGAAGTCAGAGGAGAGATCAGAGGAGAAAAGGAGAGGTCAGAGGAGAAAGAGGAGAAGGTCAGAGGAGAAGAGAGAGGTCAGAGGAGAAAAGGAGAGGGTCAGAGGAGAAAAGAGGAGAAAAGGAGAGGAGAGAGAATCAGAGGAGAAAAGGAGAGGTCAGTCAGAGAGAAAAGAGAGAAGGTTCAGGAGAGAGGTCAGAGGAGAAAAGGAGATCAGAGGAGAAAAGGAGATCAGAGGAGACAGAGGAAAAGCAGAGGAGAGGAGAAAAGGAGAAAGTCAGAGGAGAAAAGGAGAGGGTCAGAGGAGAAAAGGAGAGGGTCAGAGGAGCAGAGGAGCAGAGATAATCTTTTTCAGACTTTTCCACTCGACAGTGAATTTAAATTTGACAGATGTGAAGTAAAGACAGAATTTGTCCATCACTCTGGATCACTGAAGTATTCGAGTATAAATCCTGCGGCAATAAAAAGTCTGTGGAATTTATGGATCAAACCCGGATCAGTGAGAAGAAGTTTTTCATTCACTCAGACAAATGACTTGTGTCTATCACTGACACCAGCTGAAGACACACACACACACACACACACACACACACACACACACAGACACACACACACACACACACACACACACACACACACACACACACACGACACACACACACACACACACACACACACACACAGACACACACACACACACACACACACACACACACACACACACACACACACACACACACACACACACACACAACACACACACACACACACACACACACACACACACACACACACACACACACACACACACACACACACACACACACACACACACACACACACAGACACACACACACACACAAGACACACACACACACACACACACACACACACACACACACAGACACACACACACACACACACACACACACAAGACACACACACACACACACACACAGACACACACACACACACACACACACACAGACACACACAGACACACACACACACACACACACACACACACACAGACACACACACACACACACACAGACACACACACACACACACACACACACACACAGACACACACACACAGAACAGACACACAGACACACACACAGACACACACACACACACACAGACACACACACACACACACAGACACACACAGACACACACACACACACACACACACACACACACACACACACACACACACACACACACACACACACACACACGACACACACACACAC